GTAAACTATAGTTGCGTCCAATCCGAATCACTTTTGCAAACAAACAAACAAAAATTGAGGCTGAGATTAAAAGACAACATTTCGAGTTCCTTATTATTATTATCACGATGATATTGATATTGATATTGATAACAACAATAAATAAAATGTAAATTTTCGGTGAAGATACATGTATAATAAACCATAGTTTCCATTAATAATAAAAGTAAAACCATCACGAATTCATCATATGGCAGCGCCGTCGCCGATTCCCAGTTTCCCGGCAGTCTATTCGGATACTCAAAAACATCCGTTCTCGCCAAGTCATCAGCCACGTCATCGTACGGATCCGATGCTACCCTTGTCGATTCCGAATATTCCATGGTTGCCCTTTCCTCTTCCGAAGCGTGGCTTCTAACCTCCACCCAACCATCATCAAATTCCCAATTTGCCCCTCCGGTCATCGCTAATTTACAAATCCTTGCCATCGCCGTGATTTCTAATTCGGATCTCCACTCGCTTCTCTCTTCTTCCTCCTCTTCTTCTAGCTCGAGCCCCGAGTTGACCCAGTCGAGTACGCAACGCGGAGATGACTCAGTGCGAGACGAGTCGTGACAGTGAGACAGATATGGATGATGCAAAAGCTGATCGCAACTCCACCGTTGACTCGGGTCTCGCTTCAGACACTTGTCTAAGAAATCGCGTCCGTTTTCCGACAGCGTCACGGGGAAAACCGGTAACTCGTCGGAGAAACCGATTCGACTCAGCGAGTCAATCCCCATATCTTCCCAAGCCGGTTTACCAGTGAGCATCTCGATGACCGTGCATCCGAGTGACCATACGTCACTCTCCGGTCCTTGATACTCTCTTCTGATCACTTCCGGAGCCATCCAAAGAGGACTTCCACGTGGCGTGATCTGAGCCGTAGCCGTCGGTTTTCCGATTCTGATCGCCGACCCGAAATCCGCTAACTTGATCACGGAGCTCCGGCTGACGAGGACGTTCCTCGCCTTGACGTCGCAGTGAACGAATCCTTGCGAGTGTACGTGGCGCAGAGCAGAGACCAGACACGCCGTGTAACTACGGAGAAGTGAGTCGTCGTTGATTCCTCCGGCGACGTGATTAGCCACGTCACCTTCTGGGAGATATTCTAAGTGGAGATTACGAAACGTCGTCGTTCCTTCTTTCGAGTAAGAGTCTCCGAGGAACCGTACGATATAAGGGTGAGGCTTGAGCGAACAGAGGATGGAGATTTCGTTTTCGAGAGACTCCGATTGAGTAGGGAGACACGTGTCGAGATCAACAGATTTCACGGCGAAAACTCCACCGTCGGTTTTGTTGACCGCCGTGCTAACTGCTCCGAAACAGCCTCTTCCGACGCAAGTACCACGAACCCAAGAAGGTGACATTGAAGACGAAGAAGTGTTTTTGATGCTCTGTTTTTCCATGTGTGCCAACTTTGTATGTCGTCCTTGTGAAACACAAAGCTATTTATATGTGTATTTTTGAAGCTGTAAAACAGAGATTGTGAACGTGAAATAAAGTTGCAATTGTTTTTTGTTTCTGACATGGACAATTCTAGTACACTTGTCTTTTCGATTTGTAAAGTCTCATCTTTTAGAAAAATTTCCCACGTGGAGATGTCATGTACAACACAAACTCTCAAGTCTATCTCATTTAGATTTTTTGCATAAATTCTACCATGTTCTATAGTCAGTTTTGGATTTTTACGATAA